GAGAGAGAGAGAGAGAGAGAGAGAGAGAGAGAGACAGAGAGAGACACAGAGAGAGAGTGAGAGAGAAATAAAGAGACTGAGAATGAGAGAAACAAAATGAGATACAGTGAGAGAAGAAGATATAGAAAGATATAGAAAGAAAGAGGAGGGGTGGATTGCGGGTGAGAGATGAGACGGACAGAGGTGTTGGGAGAGGTTGATAGCTCTAAATAATGAAGAAAGTTAATAAAGATAGGGTTCAGCCTGAAAGAACAACAGTGATGACAAAGAAAAGGGTTTCTATGGGGGAAAAAACCAGTGAGCTTCACAAAATTGGGATCAAAAGACAAAAATTTCAAACAAATATTTAATTATATGAATTGAAAACTGCCAGTCCTGCTTCGACATCAGATTTGCGCTTTAAGTAAAAGTATAATAGCCTTTCATTTTAAATTCCACGTGGTGTGTATCATTCTGCTCATTATATCGCTAAAAATAATTCTTCGCAAATAAATAGAAAGCTAAGGAATGTCTTTCAAAGGGAAATATATTGGCACGAAAACATGGAAAGCTTGTCTGCATTATAAAAAACGCGTCTCGAAAGATTAGTCAAAATTTTCTTGTAAACTCTTGCCCATTCATATCAAACTATCCTCTTATTTTATACCCAATTCGTCATTAAAAAAAACCCAACAGTTTTTTTGGAAAGGGAGAAAGAAAAGTTGTTGTGAATTAGAAACACATCATCCAAAGTCATTAAAACAAAGCAACAATGTTCAGTCTTTTAGAATCAAGACACTCCACTGTTACTAAATATAACCAGAGATGGTATCTTTAGGAGATATGGCTACACATTAGTCATGGTGGTGTGGACACAATTGAGTCTCTCATAATAATATGCTCTGCTATTGGCAACAACAACACAATTACAACATTTGTTTTTTAAGAAAGCCTTTAGCAATTCTGTAGTAATGGAATCTTTACTGTTTTGACCACGATTCGTTTTAAAAGAAGCAATATGACAAAATTAAAACGTAATACATTTAAAACATCACTAGCTATTTAAAAGCAGAAGAAGTTGCTTTTTATTTAGAAAAAGAAAATCGATGATTAGACTGATATCATCTAAAACTTAGAGCTAGACTATAAAGGCTTAAAAGCGAGGGCATGAAAAAGTCAGTCTCTCTACAAAGCAACAACAGCGATGTGGGTCAAGGTACAACAAACAGGTGCGGTCACTCTGGGTGGTGTACTTACAGTTAAAAAACCAGCCACCATACTTTCCCCGCTGCTGAGTTTTTCCTGAGCACAACATGGCAAGCAAGACAAACAAATAATTCATAATAAGGAGTCTTCCGTGGTTTGTAAAACGTAATGTTCAATTCACAATCCAGAAGCAACACTTCTAATGTTGCTACAGGTTGGAACAATGTGTAGATAATCAATATTTGTATCACGGTGGTGAACATTTTGCTGAGACGGACAGGTGCCACTTAACAGACGTTTAGTGGACAAAAATGAGCTTTGTTGGACACGATTGTGCATTTAGACATACAAAGCACCGCCTGTGGCTAAAAATACCAACCAGAAACGAGCATCTCAGACATCAAAGCACCAAAAAATTTGAAGGCCATCATTGCTATATCTTCCTTAAACAAGGTCAATCAACTTTTAAATACCATACTCTGTGTGGGGTAACAGCATAACACAGACATGGCAACTCTGCAGCTTTCCGCTGAACCAAATACATTTTTGGACCAAATATTAATTGCATCAGGAGAAAATGCCTACGAAACGTCAAAATGGCCTTAGGTTATTCCTAGAAAAAAACAACAAAATCCTCTAGGGTTAAAAAACTGCGAATGGGTCAGACCAAGACATTTAAAAAATAAAGCATACAGAACCCTAAGACTACGTGAGTTATCAATCACGTTTTAGATTACACAAAATCAAAATCAAAAGTAATGATTTTGTTTTCTTCCAGTTTTCCAAGCCGGAGTTGTAAAAATGTTGTTAAGTATGAGTACGTAAAATTCAATGTCAGGGGGCATAACGATGGATGCTTGCAAGCTCAGTAATGGTTAATGTTGAAACATTGTTTCCATTTCAAATACTTTGTTAATTTGTCATTTAAGGAAAAATGCGAACATAATGTGTTATTTGCGCTTCCAAAATTTAAAACACTATCGTTATTTTCCTATGACTTTGTCAAACCTACGAGTAGCATGTCTTCATTTTTCTAAAAACAAAACATGATGAGGTATAGGCAAATACCCCACCTATTAAACATTGAGTAGTAAAGTATGGTCATTTTGAAGGCACAAAGCAGACCATGGGGCTGAGTAACAAAACATGAATATTGAAGCAAAAAACAAAGATTTAAAAACCACAAAAACACCACGTATTTACCAGTGGGGAAGGGGTGGAGAAAAGAGAGAAGAGAGGGTGGGGGGGGGGGCAATAAGATGGACAGAAAACTGAGAAATACAAGGCGTGGATGGTTGATGTGAGTGGAAAACATTCTGACGGAGTCAGAGAGGTCAAAGAGTATAACGGAGGGTCAGAGAAATGGAAAGGATGGGAGAGAGAGAGAGAGAGAGAGAGAGAGAGAGAGAGAGAGAGAGAGAGAGAGAGAGAGAGAGAGAGAGAGAGAGAGAGAGAGAGAGAGAGAGAGAAAGTAGGGAGAAGGGTTGAAAGGGGGTGGGGAAAGAAAGAAAAGAGAAAATAATGAAAGGTTGGGTGGGGGGGGAAGATGACCGGAGTATTTACTTAGAAAGCATCAATCGACTGAGGAGATAGAAAGCGTTGGATCATTAGGCGCCCCAAGTAGCGTTGATGGTAACGGCTATTTCATTGGAGGACACTGGGGTGCGTCCTTGAGCAAGGCATGTTAACCCTAGAGAAAAACCTCTCACTTTGCTACAGTACTGCAACAAGCAACGCTGTTCGTGTAATAGAATTCATTACTCATTTAATTGATTCTGTATATAAAGCGTGTGTTGAAAGTATATAGTATAATATGATCCATAAGCATCCTCTCAGAAAAGTTCATTGAGTTATTTTTCAGCGTGGGAAGAGAAAGCATTTAGTTTACCTGGCTCGGCGGGAAGGGGCGGGGCACTTGCAGGTCGTTTTTCCAGCTGGCTCAGAGATTTGCTCAGGAAAGGGTTCGGAGTTCGAGATCTCCCATAAGACCCGTCCTAATTTCAAAAGAAAAAAAGTTATGAAACCCCCCAAAACCTCATGTATGAAAACATTCAGAGAAATGCTTTTAATAGTCAAAGCCAAACAAATGTAAGCAAATGTTTGTGACTTTCAAACAGTCTCTGGTATAAGAGTTTGCCTAAGAAAATATTTTTAAAAAACAAACACCCACCCCCACAAAAAAAAATAAAAAAAATCAACCCCAAAAAACAACAACCAAACAACAACAACAAAACAAAACAAAAACCAACAAACAAAACAAACAAAAACAACAACAACAAAATTAACAAACAAACAAAACAAAAACAAACAAAAAACCTGCGCAATAAATGCATGGCATAAACTGAAATCGGTACAAACAGGTGCAAGCATGGTGATTCTCTCTCTCTCTCTCTCTCTCTCTCTCTCTCTCTCTCTCTCTCTCTCTCTGTATATATATATTAAAAAGAGTGATATAATGATAACATATGCGACATTGTGGTGAAAGCAGGCACTCGACAAAATAATGAAACCGGAGAAACTGATAGCTTCGCTTGCTGGGCAAATTTTTTATTTTTTTATTTTAGAGCCCAACACCTCCAAATGCCCAAAATAGACGAACAGATGATTCCGCCTTGTCGTGATATATTATGAAAACAAGGTTTCATTCTTCATTAAAAAAGATAGAACTGAAATATCCATTGAAGCGTTGAAATGTTCATGGTAAAGTGGGTGTGGGCTTATAAAGGCACAATATGATTAGATCAGTGAATCACAAAATAAATAAACGAAATATGTTTCAGTATGAATATAGATATTGTCGTCTAAATCACGAATAAAAAAGAGGCAGAGACAAACCATGGGACTTCATTGGTATATTAACCATATGCATCAACCCACTTTTTCACAATAGCAATGCCACAAGGACAAAAATATTTTCTTACTTGTTTCGCTTTCACAGCTTCGGCCAATTCCTCTTGTAAAGATTCTAAAAGAAGAAAGAAAACAATCAGTGTGCCCAAAAAGCAAACAATGCTGTTTAACAGTTTCTTGACAGTTTAACTAATAAACATTATTTCATGGTCACATTACAAATGTCTGCTGTTTCCAGTGATTTATCAAAACACGTACCTTTAATGTAGTCTTATTGTAATTTAACAGCAGACGGAGGGAAAAAAAACCCTCATCTTTCCAATGTCTATTGCACTTTCTGACTGACAAATCTGTATAAAATAACATTAAGAACAAAAACTGTCTAAAATGTGTATATTTATTATGTTTTTTTCCGATTTGACATTCATGACATGGTGTTCACTAAAATCTTGCCAACATTTATCCAAAAAAGTTTGAATACTCACTAGCTGACTTTGTACGCCTTCTGCAAACAGAAGAAAAAGAATATAATAAAGCACAGTTTAGTGATTCATCAATAACACACGTACAAACATTGGTCCAGTAAAGTAGGATATTGAAAGCCAAGAGTTCTAACACTGGTGCCAATGAATAAGTAAAATTTTCAACTGGAAAACCATGCCTAAGCTGGATGGGTTCCGATCACACATATCGTTGACAAGCTGCTGTTCATCATTTCTAACCCAAGAAATACTTTTAGGAGCGAAAAGAAATTTTTTCATTCTTCTACAAATTGTATTTAATTATGTATCTTTTCTGGGGGTTTTTTTTTGGACAAAACATTGATCAAGCACATGCAACCGATACCACAGATTCAGAAAAAGCAAGAAAAAAATTAAACAAAACTTCAGAATGTTGGGCTTAGCACATCTAAGAATATATTTCAAGAAAAAGTCGGATCTACGAAACCGCAAAAACTAGAGATTATTGTAGTGTTTGGGGCAATACATAAACCATAACAACTTACATTATTGATTAGAAGTTAAGGGGCTTGTCATACCTTGAAACAATCTTGTTTGTGTGCTTAATAATTTCATATCGTAATTCTGAAAACATGAGTCATTAAGTTAAAAGGGAGCTGGCAAGAGTCATGTCCTCATGGGTATGCAATTAAAACTGAGATGACGGTTGTTTAGTATTCCTGCTGATCGAACGTCTTCACCACAATATCCTTTGGTTAGTTCAGGTCCTTGCGTGTACCGTATCAAACACCCTTTGCAACTTTGGAAAAAGAAGCAGGAAAAGAGAAAGTATTTTTTGTGGAAAGAGTTCAAAGTTTGAGATGTTCCTTACGGCGCTTCCTGATTTCAATTAGAAGTCAAATAAACAAAATTACACATCTTCAAAATTGAATATTTGCTCAACACTCAGAGGAAAGTCAATGGTACGAGACAAACGAGTAGAAATGTTTTCATAAGAGGGTATTGCGCAAAACTGCACACAGTCTTTGCAACTGGAATTGTGAGGCCCATGACCACAGAATCGGAATACGATTGTGGAACCTTAACCATTACGAAGAGGAAGCCAAAAAGGGAGAACAAAAACGAGAAAAAGCACATGTACATTGAATGTTAAGTGTAAGACTTTGCCACACACCATTTTAAAAAGGAACATGCTACGGAGTCTTATACCTAGTGACCACTGGGGCAATTGATAAACTGATCACTGTCCGATCACCCCATTCGCGGCCAGAAAACAAACGTGTTAGTTTTTGAGGGTGTGAATCGGCGATTGGTTCGTGCCACGATGGTCATTTTGCACCCTCAATCTGTCTAGCCCCGTCTACCAAACCAAACCGAACCGAACCAATCGTGCCAATGAGCACCCCCTATTACACAGAGCAGTCGGTATACAAGCAAGAACTCACAGTGACTGCTCCTGTTCCCCGTTCTCCTGGGCCAGCTCCGAGGCCAGAGTGTTGCGTATGTCCTCCAAGTTCTCCCGCAGGTCTTTGTTCTCCTCCTCCAGCCTCCTCACCAGGGACTGCATCTCCTCCACGTCTTTGTCTCTGGGGTGTGGAATAAACTCACAGTCAAAACCAGTGGCTCACTTTTCATTTTCTATAAGTATGTGTTTTTACGCCCTGTCGGCATAATTTAGATCATGTAGAAGGCGGAATTTAACCCTGCCGGCCAGGGTCAGATTAGATTGGGAGGGGGATACAAAGTCCCATCAAAGAGACAAAGAAACTCGGCTACAATTTTTCCCGTACAGGAAACCAACTTACGCTTTCTTGGCACGATGGTAACGCCCCTAACTGCTATACCACAGATGTCGATATCAGAGGCTTGTTGCATAACGTTTTAGTAGTTTTTGAGCCAGAGCAACTACTTACTAATACGAAAAGAGCCGAGCCTGCTCTAACAGCTACCTGTCCAAGACAATCACCTATACAAACAACAACTTCCTCTTCCGTTTTCTTTTTTTTATATTATAATGACACTATCCAAGACGCCTGCCAAAGACTACATTTTTTCTCCTTGATAATGGCTGGTCGTATTGAACAGTATCAACTGTAGATCATGCAAAAGGCAGATCAATTTGCCCAGTGGACGGTTTTATATGACATATTATTTAATGTTACACCATGAACAGCTCAAGGGCCCATGGCCCTCAAGTATGGAAGCGCACTGGATGGCTCTGCAAGAGTTGGAAGGTACAATGAGTTCCCTTGCTGATTGACTTATAATAATATAAGAAAATAAAACAAAAACCATTCACACACAGCATTTCAAAACTTTGTAACTGAACAGTCCAAAGTGTCAATGATGTTTCGTTACTGCGTCTGTGGTGTGGCGATAAGGCTCTTTGTTGTCTCTCACGCAGGAGACTCGAGTTCGATTCCCCTGGGGCGTGAAATCTTCATCAAGTATCTCGGTCTTTCATGCGGGATGCTATCAGCCCGAGTTTGCTCTGACAGGCAGGGTCGGAAGGCCGACTCCCAAGAGATCTAAGTTGTGTCAATGAACCATAAAGTAAACCTACATTCAAACAGACAAAATGTGACTATTCTCCTTTCTCGTCGGATCAGTATAAACATGTTTTCCTCAAAATTGCACGTCACTACTAAGAAAGCCCCACCCACCTAGACTGTCCGGCCTGCCGGAAGTCCCTGAGTTCCGCCTCCAGGTTGTCTATTGTCTGCTCCTTGCCCTGAATCTCGGCCATCAACTGCTGTAGCTTTGACCGCATCTGCTGAAGCTCTGCACCGACATCCTCGAGACTCTCCTGGAAAAGTGAACGCAAAATGATGTAATCAGATCGGTGGTCATGTGATCATCACACGTTGCAACATTAGCGTGAGGTTGCTAGAATATAGATCTACAGAATGATGATGATTCTTTTGTCAAAGAGTCACTTTGAAATGTAACGCGACAAGTACAATGAGAAACATAAAACAAGGTCAACGTACAGTGGACGAACATAGAGGAAAATGTTAGTAAGAGACGATGACAATAAAAAATCATGACAAGAGGTTGAGAGAGAGAGAGAGAGAGAGAGAGAGAGAGAGAGAGAGAGAGAGAGAGAGAAACACAGAGAGAAACACAGAGAGAAACAGAGAGGGGACAGACAGACAGACAGACAGACAGACAGACAGGGTGGGGAATGATGATGCATAATTTATCCAGAAAGTTGAGAGCTTCGGCAGCGTTTATTGACAAAATCGTTCCACCCCTTTGGTTTCAGTATAAATCGCCTTAGCGTGGTTCGTCATCGCAAAAGATCTAGGTCTTGTCATACTGATAACAAATTGGAACCGAGCAGCATGGGCGCCATAAAGAATACAAGACGCACTTCTCGGATGTTACTAGAAATCGTAAGCGCATTTGGTATTCAATCATATTCTATTAGTTTACTTTCGCGAGAGGCTTATTATTTTTCTCTTTAATTTCTACCCTTTTCAGCCATATCATGCACACGCACTTTGCAGGTGCTTGAGGGCGAAACTGATATATCATCTATTTTTATTATGTCTCTGTCATTAACTTTTCTGTTTTCATTGTATAAGGGTCTCCCTACAAAGAAATAGTAGCGGTAAGTAAAAGAAGCCAGTGCTGCACTGTCAGTTTTTAAAAAAAAAAAATTGGGGGAGACCAAAAAAATGCAGTTCCTAAATCATTTGACAAGGACATGAAGGCCTGGATAGTCAGGCTACTCTCGTTAGAAAAAAATTGAAGACAAAAAAGCGGAGGTATACAAAAAAATAACAACATAATAAACGAGCAAGCAAATAAGCAAACAACAAACAAAAATAACCCAAAAAAAACAACAAACAAACAATAAACAAACAACAAACAAACAAGCAAGCAAACAGACAAACAAACAAACAAACAAGCAAATAAGTAGACAAAAGAAAAGAAAACAAACTTGGTAAGATAACTTGAACAGACCGGACTAGATCTAATTTGAAACGGGGAAACGACCAGGACAACATTTGGATGTTTTGGGGATTTTGTTTGAATTCAAGCAGACATATATTATGTGGTAAGCCTATGGGTTTTTCAGACCTGATACATATCACTAATATTTTAAAAAACATATTTGAAATATAAGAACTGTTGGTCTTCCCAGACGGGACGTCCTCCAGTTTATTTGTATAACCTGGAAATATCTAAAAACACTATTTATATATAACTAATGTTCAGGCTTAGAAAAGTTCTCTTCAAATTCGAATTCGTTTTGCTTTGTTGTTATCTTGGATAAATTTCGAAAGTATGTGAACAGGCCACACCCAAAACTCAATATCGAATTTTTATGTTACATTGCACATGCTTTACGCCCTCATCAATTTTATTTAGATCATTAAGGAAGCGGACTTCACCGAACATCCTTGTCAAGGCCAATTTGGGCTAAGTGGAATGCAACTGCTTCAGTTTAGTAAGAGTTTTACGGCGCTAGCAACTGCAGTCGATCATAATAGTATGAGCGCGGGACTGCGCGGCTCTTCGGCATCCTTTTAGAGTGAATAATGGATGACGCATTTGAAGACCATGAAGGAACAGTCAGTATTAGAGGCAGGACAACAATTATAAATTTACATTTTGCCTACGACATTGATGGCCTAGCTGGACAAGAACAAGAGTTGATCAACTTGGTAAATCAGCTTGAAGAGGCCTTCACGGCATATAGCGCGTAGATCAGTGATGAGGACACCCAACTGAAGACAAATAACATCAGTTGCATCATCACTGACATCACCAGAGACAAACAACACCACCACCCCCGCCCCCGCCCACAAAAAAGCCAACTGCCGTCTGTGTCACTAGATATCTGGGATCAATAATACTGGTTGAAGCACCCAAGCCTAGGATACTCTCCTGGATAGCCCAAACCAATGATAATAAATACCGGTCTCTGGCCCAAACCACAGCTACAGTGACTAAACTAAAAATAATTTGGAACAACGAGAGCATCACCATCAGCTCTAAGTTCAGCCTGATGCGCTCTCTGGTCATGTCTATATTTTTGTTTGCCTATGTCTGAGAAACGTGGACTATGACAGCAGCTGACAACGAAAGAAGGATGCAAGCACTGGAGATGAGATATTTCCGCAGACTTCTCAGTCTCTCGCATAGAGATTACTCAAATAATGAGGCTGTGGAAATCAAAATTGGAAATGCTATCGTGCTATACGAAGGTCTTCTGACTTGAGTAAAAAGATGCAAACTGCAGTGGTAAGGGCGCGTCCTACAATCATCTGGGCTGGCCTTGACGATTCTATGGGGAACAATACAAAGAGGTAGACGGACAGAGGAATCCGCAGGATTTACTTGGATTTACTTGGATCCAGAGCTAGAATCATAGCAGGCGGCACATGTCCATAGCTGCTCATCTCTCCTTTCCAGCGTCCACATCAGGGTCTTCCTGCTAATTGTCTCCATGAGGAGCTGGTTTGAGACACGCCTGACCACTCCTCGGAGCAAA